AGACTGAAGAAAGGGAAGCATTATGACTAAGTAAAAAGGGCCTTATCATGAATCTCTCCTTTGTGTGCGAGCCCCTTTTTGAAAGGGGAAATCTTGGTCCCCGCTCTGCATCCTACATTTGCATCTAAAATGCATTGTGATCAAGATTCCCGAAAGATAAGTGGTGTGTTGTGTTTTTATGTTTTATTCTTCCCATTGCATTGCTCTGTTCTGAGCTGCTAAGAACTTATTTGTATTACTTTCTGTGACCTTGCTGTACTATGCAGAGTGGTTTCCCTATCATTCTTTTCCAAAATGCTTGTAGCTGTCATGCAATAGTGATGCACATCTAACGTGAGTTGGAAAACTGCCCAATAGACTGTGGCCAGGAAATGAGTGCATGGCCATCTGGGGAGCTCCAGAGGCTGGATTTGGCTCACAGGCCTGAGGGTCAAGGCATAGCATCATTTTAGCCATGCCTAGCAGCCAACAGTTTAGTACAAGCATAGGATCTGTCTGTCTGTCTGCATCATTGCTTTTAATATTAATTTAATATGCATATATACTGAGGATGCAGTCTAGTGGGGAGGATTGCGGGCATCTTATGGAGGGAAGCAGCATGGAGCCTTTGCCTTCCTACGCCTTCTGTGCTGCAGGTCAACTAGAGAGGACTTTAGATGGGAAGGGGAGGAGGCTGGAGTGCCTCCAAGAGAGCACTGTATGCTGGTGGACCTGGATACCTCCCTTCCCTTCCCCTAGAATGTCCCATTTAATAAATAATAAATAAATAAATAAATAAATATTTGAGTTCAGTCAGACATCTGACTGTAACATCTTGAATAAGAACAGTCTGAGGCTGCAGTCCTACACACTTATGTAGGAGTAGGTCCAACTGTAGGATTTATTGCAGAGTAATCGTGTACAGAATTAACTTCTAAATTGTTTTCTTTAACATATCTGAATATTGATAGAGAAATAGTTTATTTTTCAGCTTTCATTAACTCTAGCAAGAACTGTTTTGTTAGGAGAAACTTTTTATTCACTTGAGCTGTACCAAATCTTCACCCAAATGCTTGTTGAAGAGTTGAGCTACCAAATGAATATGGCATTGATGGATGAGCACCATACTTTTGGCCTGGGGGGCAAAAAATAAATTTTATTACTATTTAATGAAATAATATTTTATTTTTTATTCAATGAAAGAATAATATTTTTAATCATCATTTTGTGTAATTCTCAACAGCGTAGCTGACTGAGAAGTCACTTGGAATGATATAATGATGTCTTTGACTAAATTCAGAAATCATAAGAAATATCAAAATAAATGCAAAATTTCAGCCAGTTTATTTTTCCTTAAAAGGAGTGCCAGGCAAAAGTCTTCCCAAAACTGTGTGGTCTGAGCACAGTATATGTCCTGGAAAAGTTTAGTTTTGGCCTTGGGAAATCAGGTAGTGAGGCTACTTAGAAGAACATGTCTGTTCTGGAGCTATTTACCAGCCACTGCAAATCAACTAGGAGCTGTTGCACACTTCCTTCAACTCAATGCCACTTAGCAGAGTATGGGGTAAGAGATTGTCTGATGGCCTGGAAGGGTGATATAGTGGTAAATCTTCAAATGTAATTCATCATGACAGTCCTTGTAGCCAAATCCCCAAGCATTTCTAGCAGTTTTAATTTCACCAGGAACAGGTCTTTTGTAAAGCTAATGGGTCTTAGTTGCCCAGCCAAAACACCCCAAAATTCTTTTCATTATAACAGGAAGCAATAAACATTTGCTCAGAAAATACCTCCCCCAACCTGCAAAAAAAGTGTTGATGCTTCATCTCTGCAAACCCTGACTCCACTCCACCACTGAATGTGGGGAACAAATTGGAACACAGTTTTACCTGGCCACAGATTCACCCCTGCCTGGAAGGTTAAGTTTATATCCATAATCAGGCAGAGAGTGCATTCAGACCCTTCTCTAGAATGTTGTCACTCTAAGGAGAACTTCTCAAATCTCTTTCCAATGCTCCTACCCTACCATTACTTTTTATTTTGATTTCTACAGTTACAGCACTGGATTGGCAGTTCCACATTTAATAAAATATTATGGTTAAAAGACAGTTCATGGATGGCATGTATGCCCCATAAAATTACATAATATTAATAACCAATTACAAGGTTTGTGTTGGAGAAACTATGGTTTAAGGGGTTCACTTGAACATATATGGTTATTTTGTCCAAAAATCAAACCCTTTTGGCATGAAGTAATAGAATGGTTGAATAAGCTAACATGCCAAACAATAAACCCTAATGAAACTTGATTCTCTTTCTCATTGCTTACTGGGGAGAATGAAAGACTAAATTGTAAAGAACTGTTGATAATAGTTCTGGAAGCTGCAAAAGCTGAGATTGCAAGGTTTTAGAAAGGTATTTAAGAAATATGTAGATAGGATGTGGGCAGTGGCTTTTATGGAAAAACTGACTACCCATTTTATTTGGCTGGAGGTGAAATAAAGAGGGATGATTTTCTTAGAATCTGGTATCCATTCTTTGGTGTATTCCAAGGCTGATGAAATGGATGAACTTCCACTTGATCACCATGATTTCTGGTCTACTAGGTTTTAATAGCTTTGAAACAGACTAGTTAACAACTGATCACATTAACTGCATTATTGTGGATATAAATTATATGACTGTATTTGTGTATAGTATTATTAAATGTATATCCTGCTTTTTTCTTACAACAAACTCAGACCATCTTACATCATTCTCCTCCTGCTGCTGCTCTCAGTCTTATCCCCCAACAACTACTGTGTGAGGTAGGTTGGACTGAGAGTCTGTGACTGGCCCAAAGTCACCCAGTTGGCTCCATGGCCAAGCAGACCTAGAAACCAGGTCACCTGACTCCCAGTCTCATACTCTTAACCACTATACCACACTAGCTCTCATTGTTTATTGCAAAATAATAATGAAGAATAACGGAAAAGATTTCTACAGTTAGAGTAACAAATCAAAATTAAGCAATTTTGCATACTAACAAATTCAGATTGCAAGAATTAGAAGTTAAAATAATTTGAAACAATGTGACAAGAAATGGAAGAGAAGACTATGATGCTTCAACTACAGTTGAAAGGAGAGAGCAATGAGTGTCAGTTGGGGGCATCATGCTTCTCAGCAGTTGGGCATCTAAGGCCACAAGCCAGGAGCCTGGATATGAGTCTGAAAGCATGCAAAGAATAATGGGGCTTGGTTTCCACCCCATTTATGGAAAGAAACTGGAGAAGGAAAGAGCCAATCACATTAAGGGGAAATGGAGGAAGCTGGCAAAGGAATGTGGTGACCCACAGACCCAAATTCAGGGATCTGAAAGCTAATCCAGATAGCAAAAGTACATGTAAATGTTAACATAAATGTAAAAGATATCATTTTTGTGACAACAGCTATCATTTTTGTAATTTTATTTATTACATTTGTATGCTGCCCCATAGGCCATAGGGCTCTCTGGATGGCTTACAATAAGGCAAAAAATACAAAATCTGTATAGATACAATACTAGAGTAAAGCAAATACAGGTTCAAATACAGATATACAATATCAGCAAACAAAATCAAAACAAAATTACTTAGTACCATAATATATAATGTTAAACAATGAAATACGACTATAACACCCCCCTCCCAATGTCTTAAAAAAAGCTAAATGACACCAAATAGGATGGTGATGCATCTAGTGCTTGGAGGGGAGATACCCTCAAAAGATTAAAGCACCATCTTCAGGCAGTAGAATCTCATCTTATAGTTGTATACCATTGTATTTAGATGCTATTGATATTTAACCCAAAATATACCTCATTGACAGTTATACATGCTCTGAGAATTAGCAGAACAGTAGTCAAAATCAAGAAAAGTGTGTGCAACAGTAGCAAGGAAACAGGAATCCAGATGTCAAAAGCCAAATCTGCTGCTGTTCAGATTGCCTCCAGCTTTCCTCTGCTGCCACCTACTGTCTGGTTGAAGAGGAATTAAGCAGCTCCTGAAGCAACCGCCGAGTGCTCTATCTCCCTCCTTTTGTTTACGAAAGGCTTCTCTTTAATGGCCAACACAGACATACATCTTCCTATGTGCCCATCCATGCGGCTGTAGGGAAACAAAAAAGTGCCTAATGGTTTACTAGTCTCAAGGTACCATTGAGGCTTGTGCAAAGGACGTGGTAGAAATGTTTTTATTAAATTAAATTAATTAAAATTAAATTGAAGGCAGCAAGTCTGGCTTTTGAAGCACCGTGTGTCTGATTCTTTTCTTGTAGGAATCTCTTCAGATGTATGCCTCTTTCTTCTGAGAAAAGTTTGATAGCTTGATCTAGAACAGTCTTCTGGTAGCATCCATATCTACTCTGATTGTCCCCAGGCAATGCTTCCTGAGTAGAATGCTGAATTTTAGACCTAAAAACTGGCTCCAAAGGATAATTAATGACACCGCTTTTGTTATTTGGTTTGGTTGATAACTCAAGGTAACATTCTTTCCTTCCTGCCTTAAATATTTACATATCTTTGTTTAGATGGAGCCTTTGTATAACTGTTGTATGACTGAAATATTTCACCCAGGTCAATATTTGGCTAGCACCTTTAAAATAGCCATGTACTAATTCCCTGCTAAGAGGATGCAGCACAACTATGCACAGATAAATTGTCTGCGTCTAACACTGTTGTTCTACTAATGGCTTTTAACAGAAACCACAAACTCAAAACTTTCTTTGCACATGAAATTGATTTTGTTGTTTCATCAGGGTAGAGGAGGTGGCATTTAATAGCTAGTTGGCCTGAGGCCACTGTTTACTGTTTCCGTGGAAATTGCTGGTCTGTGACATATTTACAGAGTAGTGATGTCATAAACAGCATGCTGGAATACAGGTAAAGCACCAGCAGCTTGCTCCTTAATGCAAACTTCTGGCCAGGGCTTGCCAGACCAATTTTTGTCTGACGAGTGCCCTTTTTTCAAAGGCTGTACTCGTAAGTTAATATGGTTTAATGCCTTCCAATGGCAACCGTCTGCCAAGCTCTGGAAACTGTGAGGCGAGATTTAAGAAGAACTGATAGGGAAATAAAGAGGCGCTTAAAGCTGATGGAACTGCACTGCTGCCATAGGTACTGCGGGCTGCACTCCCACTGCCTCTGTGACATAGCCCTCCATCCGCACTGCTGCTGCCTCATGCACCCCTATCCTCACTGCCTGTGTGACATACTGTGCAGCCGACCCTGTCGACCCCTCTGCCTCACGGCTTTGGAACGGAAAGCGATCAGAGCTAAAATAGAAGCTGAGCAAGAACTGGCCAGGTAAATGTGTATTCCAATTTCTCTCTACATCGTTCATGCCTGCTAAAATAGATGAAGGGCCACAGGCTCCCCAGTCCCACTTTTCACTCACGGTCAGGCTCCCTTTTCCTCTACAGACGTCTTCCTCGGGGGAACGCTCTTGTTCTTGAACCTTACAAACATTGCACTGTGGCCGCCTCAAGTGTAAGTGGCATGGGCAGAGTCACATGGAAACGAACTGGTTTGATTTGGCATGCATTCCTGTGGTTTCCCCAAGTGCCATTCAGCTCACTTAACACTATGCACTCGCAGTGCCAACTCACTACAGTACTGACTTGCTAGTTTTTCAAACTTTCCACCCTCCGGGTACTATTTCCAAATCTGTTCCGATGCCAAGGAATGTCTATGCATTAGCCACAGACTCTCTGAATAATAGAGAGGATTCTGGGTCTTAGCATTAGTTCATGTGGGATGGCAGCCAGATCTGCTCTCACTTTTCACAGTTTCACAGACTGGAAGCATATGGAGATGTGATTTCCCAGTGGGAAAAAGAAGGGCTCCTGCTATTTTCTTTTGACATTTTCACACTTTTAGGCTTTGGCATTGTATGTTCCTCCTTTCAGCTATATAGAGAAGTCATGTAGGCCCCAGTTTGGACAGTGGTGCCCAGGGAGAAGGATTTAACTATTTCCACCTAGAATAGATGCTATGAGCCTAATGCAAATTCCTTACCTTCTCCCACAGCTGCTGCCTGGGCACAGGAGGAATTGGTGTGCTGTTAAGAGCTCCCCTGCTCCGCCATGCCAACACATGCCACAGTTCTAATCCTGACTAGCAACTGGTTCTTTCTATCTTCTCTAAAAAAGATAGAACACTAAACCTCATTTTTAATGTCAGTTCTTATTTGGCCCTGAGGATGTGCCTCAGTGTAACATGGTCAAAAAAGGAAGAAAGGTGTTACTCCAAAAGAGAGCACATTTGCATTAAATGTGTATGTATTGATTTATATGTACAGATGCTTATTTATTTATGGCAACCAACTTGCCATAATGGGAAATACCAACTAGTAGATCTGCTTAGTTTGGTGATGGGAAATATTAAGGCCCCCACTTTCCCTTCTTAGGGTTCTTTGTTTTTAATTGAATTTGAGCTCAATGGATTCCTCAGAATCTCAGATACTGGATAATTCCATTCCTGGGAAAGGTGCTATAGTATGTGGTAGCTTCTCAACTCCAGAAATTTCTGAGTGAAAAAGGTCATCTACATCTCTACCTGGCTTCAAGGCAGTTTATGGGACCTAGACTGTTTTGGTCACTTTGGTAGACAATCTATATCAGGAACTGGACAAGCAGCTTTCCATATCTTTGACCATGGTATGTACCCTTCTTAGGCTTCTGTCTGAGATGGCACTGGGAGGCACTCTAATACAATACAATTAATCTAGATAACACAGAGATCCTCCTTTGGTCAAAAGGCAGATCAAGGACTAGAGATTCAACCTATGCTAGATGAGGTTATATTCCCTCGGAAGGCTCAGTCACACACTTTGGGAATATTCCCAGACTCTGTCTCAAATGTAGATGCCCAGATTTTGGTGATAGCCAGGAGTACATTTGTGCAGCTCAGGGATGTGTGTCAACTGTGTATATTGCTAGGGATGACTAATCTGGCCATGATTACACATTCCTTAATTGCATCCCATTTGGATTCCTGTAAGATGCTGTATGTTGGGCTGCTTGTGAAAACTGTGTAAAAACTTCAACTGGTCCAGAATGCAATGGCCAGAAGATTGACCTGGATCAATTACATGAGTATGTGGTTGCCTTGTTACAACAGCTTCACTGTCTACCGGTCTGTTTCTGGACATAATTTAAAGTGTTGGTCATGGCCCATATAGCCCTATACAGCTTTGGATCAGGTGCCCTGAAAGACGGCCTTATGAGTCTACCTAGGTTCTACGATGTCTAAGAGAAGCCCTTCTCTTGGTGGTGCTGCCATCAGAAGGGGACATGAGAGGCCTTACTCAGTGGCTGCTCCCTGGCTGTAGAACTCATTGCTGAGGGTGACTAGATCAGTCCCCTCTCTGCTGCCCTTGCGCAAGCAGGCAAGTTTATTTTATTCAAAAATAAGCCCTTGGACATGTAAAGAGGTCTGTTGGATTGGGCATTCTTTTCTTTCTGCTTTTGCTCTGTTTTTAATTGTGCTTTTAACATATTTAGAGCTGCCAGGTTGCTGATGGGGACGGGGCGTTATGCTCACATGACTCCAGTCCTCCATCAGCTTCACTGGCTTCCCATTGAAGCCCGGGCCCAATTCAAGGTGTTGGTGATGACCTACAAAGCCCTAAACGGCTTGGGTCCTGGCTACCTGAACGAGCGCTTACGTCCGTATATGCCCGACCGCCCCTTGAGATCTGCGGGAGAGTCCCTTCTCCAGGAACCCTCCATGAAAGAAATTAGGAGAGTAAGTACCCGGAGGAGGGCTTTCTCTGCGGTGGCGCCCAACCTATGGAATTCACTCCCCAAAGAGGTCCGCCTGGCACCGTCGTTACTGGTTTTTCGGCGCCAGGTAAAGACCTTTTTATTTAAACATCATTTCAATTGTTAAAACATATGATCTGGCCTGGGCAACTTCTTCTTCCTTCTCTTTCTCCTCCTATATTTTTATTTTATACTGATAATTTTAATTTTGTATTTGTAAATCAATGTATTTTTGTATTTTTATATTTAATAGTAATTTATTATGTACTATTGTATTTCAATGTATTTTATCATGTTGTAAGCCGCCCCGAGGTTTTGGCAAGGGGCGGCATAGAAATGTTATAATAATAATAATAATTATTATTATTATTATTATTATTATTGATGTGATCAAGCTTTGTTCATGATTTTAAACTGCCTTGAGTATCATTTTCTTGATAAAAAGGTATAAATCAAATAAATCATAGGAGAAAAAGCCCACCATCCAATGTAAAATAAAATCAAGCTTTGGTCACTGCTTGAGACCCAAAAGTTTAGCTGTAAAACTGAGTCTTAATTTATTACCAAACTGAAACCACTGTCAGTGCTAGCCAAGAGAAAACATTCTGTAATTGGAGTGCCACAAACAAACAGGCCCTGTCCCTCATTGCCAGGTAGGAGCACCATTTCCAACCACGGGACACAGGGAAAGCTCACCTCGGCAAATGTTAAAACTCAGGCAGGTCTATACAGAAAGAGGCACTCCCTTATTTTTTGAACTTTGGATTCCAGAAGTTATACGTTAGGTGTGCTAGTCACAAAAAGCTGAGTTTAGGAGGTGTTTCTGTTTCAGTTATTTGGTCACAGAGGGACACACATCCCTTCTGTTTTCTCTCAGATTCTTTTCCAGTGCTTCCCAACCTTGGCTGGGTCAACTGCACATTAGCTTTGACTGTAGTTCCCATCACTGCCTGCCATCATGGAATGATGGCAGCTGTAGTTGGACAATAGCTGGAGACCCAAAGTTGGGAACCACAGTTCTACATCAGCACATGTTTAGGAAGTTGGTAGTAGGGAGTGGAAAAGAATGGAGCTGAAGATGAGGATGCCACTTTTTCAGACTTCATCTATTCATTGGGTACTTCTGCCAAAGTGCAGGAGAGAAAACGGCCAGCATGGCAGTTGTGCCATGTTCTCCCAGAGGAGACTTGCCTGGTGCCCAGGTTGATACAATTTCTCTATCAGGAAATGGCTTTTTCATTTCCCCAGATTTTGTAATCCTTTCTACATTGTTTTTGTGCCACTGGGCTGTGTATTGGGTCGATTCAACAATGGTCACCCCCTAGAAGAACAGAAAATGCAAAAAGAATCAATTCACCCACCCACCAACTTCTTCTCCAGATGGTTATAGGGCCCTCTAGAGCAAATCTGGAGTGCATGCAATGGACGGATGCTGCAGGGGGCAGCCAAAGAAAATCCTGTTGTGCCTGTAAAGGTCTTTGCACACAATATTGGATCCATCCCTGGCTATGTCTTAATGTCCCCAAAAGAAATCCTTCTCTCAGGCCATCACTATCAAAGACAAATTTCACTGAAATGCGGGAGACAGTTTTCTTGATGGCTAATCCCAGGTTCTGGTATTCCCTATAAGTAAGGCCATACTTGCTCCGTTGCCCTTGCCTTTCCACCATCAAGGGAATGCTTCCCCCCCTCACCCCAATAACCCTTTGGCATCTAACTTGATTTACAGTTGAAGTATTTTTAATCAGCTGAATGCTGTTACTTCTTTCTCCATGTGTTTATATTTAATGATTTTGTTATTCTGAGTAAATTCCAATGTAAGTCCTTCTTCAAACATGTCCTACTTGCATGGAAAGGCAGATATAAACTAAATAAGTTGTGATCCTGAACTCATGTACCAGGGAACAAGACTCACTGAAATTATGGGATTTAAATCTAAGTAAACCTGCATAAGATTGTGTGTGGATGCACAGCTAAGCTGAATCTATCTACTTGGCATTGAATCATAGCATTTATATTCAAGTCTACTCATCCCTGTTCATTCCTTTATATTGTATTGAATTGAAATCTTGTAGACATGGTTTGCACACAACACCAACCGAACAGCACAGGAATTGGCAGGGACATGTGGGTGCAAGCAGTCACTCTTCCTCATGCCTAGCTGCCACTTCTGTTTTGAATCAGCTTTCCAAAACAATGCAAGAATGTCTCATTCAAATCCACAACTCAGCTTTCTTAGGGTCAAATATACCAACTTTTAACCCAACAGTAAACCATGGGTTAATATGCTAGGTTGTTTAACCCTGTCAGATTGTTAGATTGTTTCTTGTGCACTCTCACAAATAAGCCATTTTAAACAGGGGGCATTTGATCGTACAAACCAGCCTGACTGCTATCCTCTGTCTTTTTCTTTTACATTACAGAATTCGAAGAAGAGTTACTAAAATGCTGGCAACATGTAGCCGCCCAAAGCTTTTAGCTTTAATGGACGTTAAGGGTTTTGAACCAGAGGACATTACAGTGAAAGTACAAGATGGAAAGGTTAAAGTTTCTGCGGAACATGAAGAAGAATTCAAGACTTGTACTGGGAAGGAGTACAACTACTCCACTGTCACCAAAGAGATCTGCCTGCCACCAGGGGTGTCGGAGAATGAAGTCACTTACACTATAGGACCCACCAGTCTTGTGAGGATAGAATCCCCAGGCTCTGTGCCTCCGTGCCTCCTTAGTCTCCTCTGAAGATGCTAAATCATCGGCGCTGGTAGCCGATCAGCATGAGGATGTAATACCTGCAATGCCTCTGCAAAATTGTCTTTTCAACATCACCCTTTAACCATGTGTTAGCAACCAAGTTGACCTTCTTCCAACAATGACAGTGCTTCACATCTGTTGGCTTACTGCTCATTCATTCATTTGTAGTATTTTAACCCAATTCCTCAGCCAAAAAGGCTCCTATAGTTTAACAGACAGTCAGGCTTACCGTCTGCAAAGACATGACACACAAGGAAAAAATGGGAGCGGAAGAGGGAGTGGTGAGAAAGTCCAGTCTTTCACTAGGGCTGATGAAATGACCCCACTTTCCACTTTCATCTCCCTCTGTGCAGCCCACAGGAATGGAGTTATGGAGAAGACTTTGTTGTCCTTAAAGAGTGTCCACTTAGTTGGCAGCTGCAATCACAGAGGCAATACAATTCCTATTTATCTTAGCTATAGGGCCAAAAATGTAGTGAGATGCCATAGGTCAGTGATAAGGTGCACCTTAACATCTCTAATTAAGAATAGATCTGGCAGCAAGGAAATCTGGTAGCAGGAAAGACTCCATGCCCAGTATTCTGGAGAGCCACTGCTGGTCAGAATACACAGTAACAGGCAGATACTCTGAGCCAGTATGTAAGACAACTTCCATTGTCCTTTAGCTCCACAGTAATTAATACAAAACAAGCAATATCCAGAAGTGCTTGCAATGAAGATGAAGGAGGTGAGAGTGACGAAAAGACAACCAGTTACTGAATTACAGGGTTACTGGGACAGGACCTCCTGGGCTACCTTTTATAAGGGTCCATATGGGGGCATTATTTCTCTCTCCTAGATGCCTGCCTGCCTGCCTGCCCCTTTCACCTCCTTGCACAGTTGGCCCTATCACTAGTCCTAGAAGGTGGGCTACTTCAGCGAGCAGATGCTGGATTGCTGGGAGCAATAGCAAGTGATAGGATGTTGGCGGGCAGAGCTGTGCATTCTACATAACCTGTCTTGTCATCCTTGGATGTGGTGACAATCTCTGTCCCATTGACAGGGTTCAATTGTAAGATGCAGTTGTAGGGTGTCCATTGGAGCATTGCCAAAACCTTATAGTTACATAAGGAGGGTGCATATAATACCAAGAGAAATACAATCCATTTCACTACAGTGGGGGAAACTGACATGTATTGAAAGGCAAATTGAAGGCCCCCTTTCTCCCTTGTTACAGCCCGTTCTCTCAAAATGCAGCATTCCAAAGTGGATATGTCAGACTCTGAATCCGAACTAGAGGAAGAGGCAAAGTTGGAATGCTAGTGGATTGAGCAGTAAGATAAGCCAAGCAGCTGGTGAGAACCAGAACTCCTCTGCTTTGTGGGAGACACTGTGGAAGTGGGAGGTCAGAGGGAAAGAGGTGTAACTTAGGGAACCAACTTTGTTATTTTTTCACTTTGTTTATTTCTTTATTAAGTGTAATATCCTGAAAGTGGTGCTCAAGGCAGTTAACAATTAAAATAAAGATAAAAACTTATCAGTGCACACATAACAATAAGAAATTGATAACCCGTCAGATTGAAACCTATTTCAGTTTTATTCAGTTTTGAAAAATAAGCTTCATATTTGGAAAACAATACAAATAAGTCACAAAGTACAAGATGGATAATATATATTTTTGTGTTTCCAAACAGTGATTTTCATGGGCCTTCTGGTCCAAATGCAGATCCTTCTCCCCACCCCACCCCACCGACCAAGGCACAGATTATTCATGAAGTACCAGGAGCTCCCTCTGTTGCAAAGTGTTCATGTCTTTTCTGTTCAAGTTGTTGCAGATTTTGTATTCTTAACTGAAGGGAAGAGAAGCATAAAAAGAAACCTGATCATTTTACCACTAGGTGGCATGTATTTGTATAAATTAAGTCCCTCCCTCCCTCCAGACACACACACACACACACACACACACACGGAGGGAGGGGGACAGGGCAGGCGTGAAAGCAAGAGAGCGTGCAAGCCAGTGCAGGTGAAATTTCACAGGCTAAAATTAGCTAACCCGAAGCAACCCTTGCTCCCTTCTCATATCAGGTGAATGTTGGCATTGGATATCAGTTTTCCCTAAGTGCCCTACATACCCCTGAAACATAAACCGAGTAAAAGCTGTTGTGCACCAACTTCTTACTCATGTGCTAGATTCACAATGTTAGCAATAAAATCTCCCCCAGGCTTCATTTACTTCCATCTACTGGCAGCAGCTGATTTGACTTCAAACATCACAGGGACTTTTTTTTAAATCTATAATCCTATATACGAATAGCATGGGCCCTTACGTAGCTAAGACACTAGTTTCTATTCAAGAAAGAATGCTTTACAGACTTGGGCCAATCCCTAGATTAGCAAATGTACAATATATGGAAAAGAAAAATATAAAACCGAAGGGGGTGTGGGGAAGCCAGAGTTGACGGTGATTGGTGGCCATCAGATGCTGACTGCTGGAAGAGGAGGAAAAAGGCTGGTGTGAGATTTAAAGTCTCACTGGTGAGGGGGGAAAGAATACATGCCAGAAAGGGGAATGGCTTGGGGGAGAGACCCAAAGGTCCCGTTTGTGCTACTTCTCTGAGCTAATCTCTGAGCCATCTTTCTAGGAAGAGCCTGTTCTTGTAAGCCTATTAGGGGGTCTGTTAGGGGTCTCCACAGCCTCAGTGAACGTTGGGTATCTTTTGCTCTTATTAACCCCACCACGTATTCATTTCAGCCCTTCAGCCAAAGCATGACCCTATGAGCCCACCCAGACTTTTCAGCAACCTGTACGCTGAAACATCTCACCCTGAGTTTTGCATGTTTGTTTCTTTATTGGCTATAAATCGTCCTCTGGAAGCTTGGCCTAGCCACACAGACACATATGCACACAGTAAAGGAATCTGAATGTGGGATGTGAGCAAGCCATGACTGAGCAAGCATCTTGGGGTGCTTGTGGACACCTCGATGAAAATGTCAGCCCAGTGTGCAGCTGCTGTGAAGAAGGCAAACTCCATGTCAGGCGTAATTAGGAACAGAATAGCAAATAGGACTACCAAGATCTTACTCGCCTTATGCAAATCTTTGGTGTGACCACATGGAATATTGTGTTCAGCTCTGCTTGCCTTATCTGACAAAGGACATGATTGCACTGGAAAAAAGTACAGACAACAAAAATTATCAAGGGGCTGGAACAACTCTGTGAGGGATGGCTGTAACAACTGGAAGGGATCGGCTCAGGAAAGAGGCAAGCAAAGGGGTATTTAAGATTATGCATGGTGTGGAGAAAGTGGTGAGGAAGAGATTGTTCTTCCTCTCCCATAACACCAGACCCAGGATCATCCCATTGAGCTGATTGGTGGGAGATTTAGGACGAACAGAAGAAAGTACTTCACGCAGCATATAAACTATGACGTTTGCTGCCATGGGAAGTGGTGATGGCCACCACCTGGATGACTCTAAAAGGGGCTTGGACGGCTTCATGAGGGAGGAGGCTCTCCGTGGCTACTAGCCTTGCTGCCTTTGTGCTACCTCCTTCGCAAGAGGTGGCCTGCCTGCATACACCAGTTACTGAGGAGCTTGGGCAGGTGCAGGTCTTGCTCCCATCCGGCTTGAGGGATCCTGTGGGCTTGTCACTGCTTGTACCAAGTACTAGACTACATGGACCTTTGATCTGATCCAGCATGGCTTTTCTTACATTCTTATGAACACTCTTCTTCAACCCTACAGTTATACTGAAAAGTTCCAAGCATTCAAATTAGCTAGATTTCATACTGCAAACATGAAAGATTGAAATTTATTTTACAGTGATGATAGCAAGTAAAATCACATACGGCACCAGCCTACTCATCCGAGGACACCTTACCTATTGCAATTATTTATTCAAAAACATGAGACCTCTGGAAAGAAAAAAGTTCTACAACTCATGGCTAGCTGGGGAATGCTTGAAGTTGTAGGCCTTTTTTCTGTCTGAACATGCAAAGGTTTGTGTCTAAAAACACATTTCCAAAACTATCAATTGTTTTGTTGTTATGTTTTCAGCTTCAAGCCCTGTTTAATTCTGAAAACAAAGTTCTACAGTTTCTTTGAATGAAACAAGTCTCAGTGCTCTTGTGAGCATCAGCCTCTCCCAAAATACCTCAACCAAAGAAAGTCTGAATTCTCTGGTGAGGTATAATTGATGCAACAGGACAACATTTGAAGCATTATCAGGGGCCTTTGCAAACATAGTTCAAAGCATTTGCAGTTACATTCATTTAAGGACATGCTTTTAGTTCCTAGTTTATCCATCTGTTTAGGTATTTCCATCTATTGCCATACCTTAACTGGGATGTCAGGGAGCTCTATGCATGGTTGTTCCTGTTACACATGTTTTGTATAGTTTAGAGACTGGAGTGGTAAAATAAAGACAAGTATACATTGTCGTTACATGCTACCAAGTTGTTTCTGACTTAAGACAATCCTATGAAAGAATGTGCTCTCCAAAATGTCCCATCCCTGACAGGCCAGCTTAGCTCTTGTAAACTCACAGCTGTGGCTTCCTTTTTGGAGCTGATCCCTCTCATAGTTGGTCTTCATCTCCTTTTGCCTTCAGTTTTCCCTGGAATTATTGTCTTCTCCAGCAAGTTTTGCCTTCTGTGAATGAAATATGACAGTCTCCCATTTCACCATTTTTATTTCCAGGGCTATTTCTGACTTTATTCATCTTCCTCTCAGTCTGGGGTATTCACAAAGCCTCTCAGTCTGGGGTATTCCATGTTTCACCATGTTTTGAACCATCTGTTTTTCCCTATGAGCTTTCTTCACTGTCCAGCTTTCACATGCATACAGAGTGATTGGGAACATGTGTGGAAGATCTTGACCTTGGTCTTCAGAGAAATGAAGTTGCAACCTAATCTGGCAGTTGTTTCCCTTTTTTACTTAGAAAAGGTGGCGTTGTCCTGCACATAAGGAGGCAGCAATGGTCTTTCCGCAGTATCGTCAATATCTCACCA